CTGTTTTTCATTTTAGAAGATGATAGTTATATAATGCCATCATTGACTCATAAGACATTTATTGAGTATCCACGTGGTGTTGTGACTGTGCTAGGCAATGGTGCAGACCCAAAACTATGCCACAGTTTTCCCTAAAGGAGTTTAATTTCTGATCAGAATTACAATCCTGCAGGGGAGTTGGAGTTCACCTCTAAACCCTCTTCAACTCTTACCTGGGCTCTTTGGCTAGATCTAGAAACCAAATTGATACCAGGTGGATTAATAAGAGAAAGGTACACAAATTTTATTAGTTTTACATGTGCTTGGGGATCTTAACAAGAGAATGAAATCCAAAGATGTGGCCAAAGCAAGATGCCTTTATGCTTTTTAGACAAAGAATGATAAATTTGAGAAGAAATGACAGGACACAAAAAATCTGGATAGGGGAAGTAAATTTTCTAGACGAGTCATTAGGACATATATTGGAGGTGTAAACTAATGGAAAAGAAGGGTTACTTCCCTAGGTATATTCATTTAGGTACACTGCAGTGCCCAATTCCCAGTCTTGGTGATAAGGGCTGTTTTCTTGCCCTGCTATGGTGAGAGTACCCTCCCAGAGGAATCTTTATGGCTAGCTGTGTATAGGAAAAGACAGGTCAGCTAGGAAACCTGAAACTAAAATTTCTCCATTGTTTTTAACTTTAAATAATTAATATACCCATCTGGTATGTTTTAGATGGCAAATCCTTCACTTCTTTAATCCCAACACAAATTTATAAAAATATAGATGGATTTTTGAAATATAAATATTTAGTTTTTATTAATACTACTGTTAGTACCTATGGACTGGCTCACTGTGACTAGGAATCAAGTTTCCTCAAAGGAAGTTCTATTTGATTCAAATCTAAAGGATCATTAAGAGGGGGCACTTTTCAAAAATATAGATGAAGTGCTAAGGAGAACTGTGTAAGTGCTTAAAATTGCTGGGAAAATAGAACTCCAATATCAACATCCATATACACACGTGTGCGCCAGAGAACTAATGAATATCAGATAGTACTTTTTTTTTATTTCAGGGTATTATGGGAGTACAAACATTTTGGTTACATGTTATGACTTTGCCACACCCAAGCCATGATTTGAGACGTGCCCTTTCCCCCTACAACGCTCACCGTGTCCATTAGTTGTTGAGTTTACCCGCCCCAACCCCAATTTTTCATATTTTCTATGAGAGAGTTGGGTTTGTGTTTCTTTTTAATTTTTTATTGTGATAAAAAATAAATAACAAGAGATCTCACTTAAAATTTTTAAAATGAAGAGAACAGTGCTATTAGCTGTAAGTGTAATGTTGTAAAACATTACACTAAATCTCTAAAACTTTTTTACTATGCGTAACTTAAACTTTATACCCAATAAAGAACGAGTCCTCATTTTTCTCTCCCCCGGTCCCTGACAACACTGTACTTTCTGCTTCAATGAGTTTGACTCCTTTAGATATCTCGTGTAAGTAGAATCATACAATATTTGTCGTTTTGTGACTGTCTTATTTCACATATAATGTTCTCAAGGTTCATCCATTTTTGTAGCAAATGACAAGACGTAGATAAAAGGAAAAATACAAAAATATAGTATGGGTAAAAAAGCAGAATGTAGACATATAGAGAGAATAATAACCAGATTTAGATGGGAGAAATTTTCAAGGAAAAAATGTGCTGTGGAAAAAAAATGTTTTATTTTAGATATTCATACAATTTGGCTTCCATAGCCCATGATATAATTCCAGTCTACTGAATTCCTACACTCTGCCTCCTATGTAGTCTCCAATACCTGAGGATGGACATGGCAAAGAGTTTATTATCTGTGGCTTCAGAAGAGAAGCAGTAGGCTGGAAAACATGAATGTGAGCCAGGGAGGAAACTCAGAAATCTGTCATATTTAACTCCAATGGCTTTCAAATTTTGGAGGTGTTCCCATTTCAGTGAGCTTTATCCTGACACATTTGGCTTCCTTGTATTGTACTTATAGATAATAATGAAAGTGACAGAAATTAAGAAATGAAATGCTTTTACTGGAGTTGAAGAAATGAGGCATTTCCCAATGGGAAGAAAACCTTCAGGAAAGTCTCTTTTAAAGTTAAATATTTAAATAAATGTTGGCGTTTTGTCTCTAAAAAATCAGTAAAGACTACATTGCTCACAAACACACCTATGATGATGGAAACAAGACAACTCATTTTTTTCTTCATCGAGCTCTGTATATGAATATAAGTTGCCTCATAGATTTTTGTTGTCTGTTTGGAAAAATGAAATAAGTTAAATGTTTATTCAATGCTTTGTAGTCAACCAATCTCAAAAAATAATTGCTATATGTTTTACTGTTAAAGAGTTTATGAAAGAAAATACAAAAATGATCACTATTTGGATAAAAAACAAAAGCGAAAGAGTACAATTTTCATAGGTACCCAATACTTTTCACCATTTCTACATAAATATGTTGAAAGTATAATTTCAATGCCTATCTTAAAATGCATCAATTATAAACTCAACACATCTCAATGCTCTGTATTGTTTTATGTGTTAACTAGTGGTTTATTCATTATTTCCTGTTTCCTTTCCTTTCCTCTTTCAAATATTCTTAACTTTCAGTTCTATTAATGATCAGCTCTTCTGGAATTAAATGCTACATGCTGTATGTCCATATTTATACCTTTAAAGAAAATAAGGAGAAATTATTAAATATCAAATTTATATTACATATATGTGTATATATAATAAATGAGTATTTATTTTTCTACTCATGAAACTTGCATCCTCAGTGCAGAATATTTAGAAATGAACACATTAAAAATATTTAATCCCAGATTTTCAAATATTTTTTTTTGGTTCATAAATATTTTTTCAATGAGAAGATGTCATATATACAACTATAAACAAAGATTTAACAAAAGTAAATGATACAGTGAAGGAAGTAGTCAGAAGGCAATAAATGCAAGTTTTATTAAATATTGCTATGACATTAGTCATATGGTATGGGAAGGGTTTCCCTAATTTCAAAGAAGCAATTCAGGGTATAAAACTCTTCATAGGTTCTTAACATTGCCCATTTCAGAAGACTATTAAGAAATCCAAAGCAGTGTTTTCTACCATCTCTTTGTGGTATGATAAAGATCTCTTTTCTGAGTTGCCAAAATTTAAAGGATATAAGCACACTGATTCTCCTGACTTTCTAAGAGAAAAATATGGACTTGTACAATTATAGAGGAATCAAATTCTAAATCAAACTTTCATACACCCAATATCATATGTTGTCTAGATGCCTCATTTATATCAATAATTATGTTTTTATACTTTCTTATCAATATTTATAAAAAGACTAATGTCAATGATTCATCTGTATCTTTTAATGATGCCTCGCTTTGGCACTCTCTGTTTACTTAATGAATTCCCATGAGCCAACAAAAAAGACAAAGATAAAATAAGTCCAATTCCATTTATACAACATGCATAGAGAGGGACATTCCTTATTTTTTATTGCTCAAATTAGCATTTTCAGGAAAACGTAACATTCTCTGAAGGCTAAGAGAAGTATTACTTAGATTCATGGATATTTAGGGTTACAAAATATTTATTTAAAATGTTTGCATAAATGCAAAGAAAGGTAACTGTTTTAACAAGTGTTTATTACATGGAAAGTAGAAAGTGGTAGAGTACTTTACTAGTTAAGCTGGATATAACTGTGTTTATAAATGGATCTTGTATGAGAGGGGGAAAGCAAGAATTAATTGTAATATAATAAAATGTTTCAACAATTTGACAATATCAGGAATTAAGGATATTGTGGGTCCAATATTATAGAAACAAGAAGAGCTATAATTTCTGAAAGCCATGAAAAAGTTAAATCACCACACTTGTTTTGAAAGTACAAAGAAAAACAAATAAATTGCCAAATTGATTTGCCAGTTCTGAAATTAAATGACTATTTAAGAAAGCCCGATGGTAGAATTTCAGACTAAATTATCAAGAAGAATCAGGAAGTAAGTACATTTGTTACTGTTAAATATAATACATATTATTCTACTTTATTTTTATGTTTTAAAATACTATTTGTACATGATTGTGAACTTACAACTCTTATAATTTTAAAAATTAAATAATTGTTTATTACTAAGAAAATGTTATACTGAGTAAATGTTATTTCAACAATCTACTTGTTCAGTTGCTATAGCAATATCACAAATAAAAATCTGAATTGTGCTTTGTATGAATTCAGATGTTTTAGACAATGATTTGTTGTGGCAACAGAAGCTTCCATTTCTTGTTCTTCTAGCTTTTTTGCTAGAAGAGGGAAAAAAATGAGGCATGGAGGATAAGAGTATTAATCAAACCTTTCAGTAATCTAGGAGAGAATGCCAACAAAACATAGCCATGGATAAATATGTATTTTCAAAAGAGATGATTACTATAGTGATTGGTCGTTTAACCTTGTGAAAGTTTCCTAAACTTTGTGGGACTGAGTTTCTCAAAATATCATGTTTTAAGGTCAGTCTAAATAAGCTCTGTAAATTTTCAAATTCTGTATTTAGCTTATGCTACATACATCACAGGTTCTTTTTTATAACATTGAGGAAAGGAAAAAAATCAGAAAACTTTCATATGTTTTTAAATATTTTTAAAATCAATTACAAGTTTAATTTTGAAGAAACATTAGAAAAACTAGCTTCTGTTTAAATGCTAACACCAGAATTTTTTATCCATGGCCTGTAATAGTGTATTTTCAATGAAGAGAGATTGATTTTTAACTTCAGATAATATTTATTACTTGAATGAAAGGTAGAATGGGAATTGGAGAGGGTTGCTGATGGAAAGTATATGGGTTTTTACAAATATTTTATAGATTATTCACAATTATAGATATTTTTAAAATGTTATATCCTATCCTCAATAGTGTTTTATTTTTTGTTTATAATTCTATAGGGGAAACATATATTTTCTGTTCTAAAAGGGGAAAAATGAAGATCAGCAATGAAAAACCACACAGTACCCACAGAATTCATTCTTCTAGGGCTGTCAGATGATCCAGAGCTTCAGATTGTGATTTTTCTCTTTTTGATTATCATGTATATATTAAGCATCACTGGAAACTTGACCATCATCACTCTCACCTTGGTGGACTCCCATCTACAGACTCCTATGTATTTCTTCCTCAGGAACTTCTCTGTATTAGAAGTAACCTTTACAACTGTCTGTATCCCTAGATTTCTGGGCACAATTATCACCAGGGACAAAACTATTTCCTACAATAATTGTACAGCTCAGTTGTTTTTCTTCATCTTCATGGGTATAACCGAATTTTACCTTCTAACTGCTATGTCCTACGATCGTTACGTAGCCATCTGCAAACCCCTGCACTACACAACCATCATGAACAAGAGAGTCTGCATATTGCTTATCTTTTGTGCTTGGTTGGCAGGATTCTTAAATATCTTCCCACCAGTTATTCTTTTTCTCCAGTTAGATTACTGTGGCTCCAATGTCATTGATCACTTTGCCTGTGACTACTTCCCCCTATTACAATTATCTTGCTCAGACACATGGCTCCTAGAAGTGATTGGCTTTTACTCTGCAGTAGTGATTCTGCTTTTCACTTTGGCATTAATCATTCTATCCTACATGTTCATCATTAGGACAATTTTGAAACTTCCTTCTGCTAGTCAGAGAAAAAAGGCATTTTCTACATGTTCCTCTCACATGATTGTCATTTCCATTTCTTATGGAAGCTGCATATTCATGTATGCTAATCCCTCTGCAAAAGAAAAAGCATCCTTGACCAAAGGAGTAGCTATTCTTAATACTTCTGTTGCTCCTATGATGAATCCATTTATATACACCCTGCGAAACCAGCAAGTAAAGCAAGCCTTTAAGGACACCATGCAAAAGGTTACGTTTTCTTCTAGTAAATGAAAGAATGTTAAAAGAATAAAGTTCTTGTAAATGCTTTTTATTATTATGCATACCCTCTCAAAACACTCTTTGCTTCAATTTTTTTCCATTTTCATATTAAAATTTTCCCCACATTGCATTCAATAAATTTGATAAAGCTGAATATTTCTTCGTAATTTTCTGAACATTAAAATGTTGTATTCACATGTATTTGGATGAAGTGTAAAATCCTGATTAATGATTATGATTTTAAATAGGAGTGGCTGTTTTGGAAGAGACATAGGACATTTAGCTTGATGAAAAGAGTATTGGGATAGATATGGACTTTGGAACATTTCATTCTTTCCAGGTAATAGAAATGAATGTTTTTAGGAAATTTTATTCTATTTGGCATTTTTGTGAATTCAAATAACCACAATCACTAATGTGTGGGAAAAAAACATTAATATCCACTTAAATGTTTGAAAATATTAGAAAATCATATGTATTCAAAGTATTATACTATTAATATTAATTATGGTAATAATGAGAGGTAGTAATAGGAGAGCAGAACATGAAAGTTTTCAGCAATGACTACATTGCAGAAATATTCCAGTAATTTTCTATGTATTATCTAATTTAATTCTGCCAACAACTTTATAAGGTATCAACAATTAGTATCTTTTTTGGTAAGTGGTATTTTTCTTTAGATATATTAAATAACTTTAAAAATGAAAATAAAAACAGAGAGAGAAGAGAAAATTTTTTAAATTATCAAGGAAAATGCATGAAATTTAGATAAGCTAGTGAGAATTCAGCTTTCTAGAGAAGTGAAATTTAATCTGAGAGTCTAGAAATACCTTTAGGGTGTTTGGAAGAAGAGAAGAGAAATAACATCTCCTATGATAATATTCTTTGTATTAGGCAAGTCATCTGCAAAATTTATTGTATAAAACCTTTTAGTGAGTATTATAAACTCTTTCATTTGTAATAATTTATTAATAGATATTCATAGTAAATACTAAAATTATTAAAGGACTTTCTAATGTATGATTAACTCATTCCAGTTATACTTAATTATCTTATAACAGATGTTGAAGATGTAGTGATGAAAATATGGTTCTTGTCTTAAATTTTCTCAAATTCTAGTGAGGAGAGAAAATAACACATAATTAAAATTTAATTTGATAAATGTAAGAATTTGAATCTAAGCAGGCTATAAACCAGGTAATGTAATCATTGACAAAGATATAGAATGTCAGTTTTCCTGCCTTTTCTCCTAGTAGAATTATGATCAATTTCACAAAAATTCATTTTAGTCCTAAAAATCACATGCATTTGAAAAATCTTGTCTACTTTGGCCATCACCTTAGTTTTCACTCTTATTTATATTTATATATTTCTTGATAACCCTGTGTGTTATTTTAAAAAATCACATTATTTCTTAATTTAAACGAGTTACTGGAAATAAGATTATGATGGTCTTCAAACAGACACAAAATTCTCCCCAGTATCTCTCTCTGCCTCCAATCTGTATCATGAATCAGGGATTGTTCTTCTCCTCACTTTGACCCATGTATCACTGAGACAGGGAACTGGCAGGCAATGCTTCAGGCATTTCCTTAGGCATTGTTCTAGGCATTGCTTCAGGCATTGCTTAATTGTGCAGACATTGCCTACTGAGTCAAGAAATCTCAAAACAAAGTTTCGAGCTACCCCAATGAAAACAAGATGGTGGCAGGACAAGTTCCAGCTGGTGAGAACCAAGATGGTGGAGAAATCTACTGCTTCTTGACATTACAGCTTCATTATCGCATTGTTACCATAAAATTACCATAAAAGTTTCTAAGGAAACCTCCCACTCCCACCATGCACCTGATGCCATGACTCTTCCAGTTTGACCATATATAGTCGAAAGGAGGGTGTCACCCTAATTCCAGGAAAACATTGCCCTTTCCAAGAAATAACATGAATATGTTTAGCCTATAATTAAGGCTTTGCTTAAATAGAGGGGCTGAAGGAACCATGGGGCCTGCTCTCCTCTGCAGGGAGAACTAGCCTCTACTCTGTGGAGTATGTTTTCTATACTTTCTGAATAAAACTTGCTTCCACTTTATACTGTTGCCTCACTCCTGAATTCTTTCTTACATGAAGCAAAGGACCCACTAGGACTTCAAGTGATTCCCAGCACTGAGACTCACTTTCCTGTGTCACCACTGCATATCTATTATTCTCCCAGGTCTATCTGAAAGAACTTATGTTACCAACCACACCCTAGATTTCTATGAGATGCTAAACTATTTCAAGTGTTTTTTAATTTCACATTCAGGAAACAATTCAAGTCCATGCACAAAAAGAACAGGAAAATCAAAACAATTACTACATACTGAATATTTTAAAATATCTGAAAAGTAATAAAATAAGTATTATACATATACTATTTTTAACTCAGTATCTATATGTGGATATTTACAGTTTTCTATAAACAGAATAATAATCTTCCATGTACAAACTCTTTATAATTCTTATATGATTGTGAAAATTCAATCATATATTAGTCTAAAAATATTTTTTAAAGCAACTAGGTTGCAAGTATGTGCTAGCAATTTGGGTTAATAGAATACCATTTCCACCACATGGGACTTCAGGTGACAGTTAAAAAGGTACACATTTACATACAGAATTAATTTTTTATAAAAGCATATACCAAGTACTACGTCAATGTAAAAGATGGGATTGCTCACAATATTGGAATTATTCCGGAGGATTTCCAGTAAATATAATAAATATAATTAATGGATATTCTTGGCAAAGAGAATCATGATTGCAAATAACACAGAGCTGTAAAAGTAAGTAAAGAGACATATAGTGAATTATGAGAAAATAAATAGAAAGCAACAAATAGCAATTACTTCCTTTTCCTGCTTTTCATGAAAGAGCCAATTTTATTGATTCAATTTATTACACAAAGCAAAATATGCTATAAAACACTCACTTTTCTTATGTGAATATCATGTTTTAAACTGTGTTAAATGTTTTATCTATTCCTCTAAGGTTTTACCAGTTCCTTTAAGTGGATATTTTTTCTCCTTCTAAAGAATGAGCCACAGAGAGTCACAGGAAATAATCACATATAATCAATATATATCAAAATAGTGATTTAAATCAGGTCTATGACCCAGCAACTAAGCTATTGTACCAACTTTTTGTGGAGGTAGAAACCTTGCAAAATAAAAATACACAAGTGAAACTTAGAATTTCAGAATTAAACATTATTTATATTATTCATTCCTTCACAAAGTACTAAATGAGCACAGCCAAAGTGCCAAACTTGGCATTTGGGAAATTCTACCCAAATTAACTTATCACAGAAAATTAAACATTCAGGAAACAATTACTTCTTTGGAATTAAACTTAAATCTCTTAGACAACACAGAAAATCACATTAGCTAAAGAAACTCATAATCCCCCAACTCTTCTATTGTTAATCTCAGAAGTAATATGTACCTGCATGATAACTATGGTGCACTTTCACTGTATTCGAATTTCCTTTGTGACTTATGAGCAATATTCTGTCATTTTTGAATTGAACACTGAATTATCCACACCACCAACCTCAGCCATAGCTATAGAATATGTGATTCATAATTCATTATCTCACTCATAGATAGTCATTCTCCATCAGTCTGATTTGAGACATAGTAAACCTTTGTATTGTTAATTAAAGCTCTTTGGTATTCATCATGCCCTACATCTCTCTCTGATATCAGGTTGCTTGTACCAAAGTTCCCAAGCCTAAGTCACCTTTTTTCTCCATCTGTATAATTGGACCTTCATTGTTATATTTTATAGTCACATAGGATCACATAAGCATCTTGGAATGGTTCAGTATGCTTACCCATAGGATAGCCATTTTCACAGTGCACTAAGAACTTTATTTTTCTTGACTGTCTCTACTAATAGACTATGAGCATTTTTCAAGCAAAGTGAACATTTTGCTCATTATTGCCTAACAAAGAATTTATTGTAGCACAGTCATTAAATAAAATATTTTTAAAATTAATCAGTAAATAAATGGAAGTCTCAAAATGCCTACTTCCTATTTACATTATCGATATCTTCTCCTTTTACATTAGCATTGTAACAGAGGGAATGGCCTAAAAAGACCACAAAAATCTTTTCTGTCTCTTTAAAACATCCTCCACTCCTTTTGAGGAACTAAAACCTGCATCCCTGCTTCAGGCTAGCTGTTAGGAGGAGCAAGTTAAGTCTTTTGTTCTTTGTGCTACAGAAGATGGCTCAGCCCAGACCTGGAAGAGGAGGCTCTGGCCTGAGGACATGGGATTGTCATTAGAGGAGATGGGATGGAGATGGGAAGATCAGAATCATCAACTATAGTTGAGCAGCAATTGCCTGAATCTGAGAACACACCCTTTAAAAGCTCTGTATTTCTGTTTATTAATAGGACCATGGCATTTCAGACAGGGGTCTCCATCTCCTCCTTTGCCAGTAGAATAATAAACTTCTCTTTCCTTCTCCTCAAACCACTTTTTCTCATTCTTCTGATGTGGCCTAGAGGACAAGTGCTGAGCTTTTGGTAACAGCATTGCTCTTCTCTATCATCTTGTTTAAACAAGTTTTTATGTCTGGATTTTCTAGGACTCCTTGTTTTTCAGAACCATGTATTAATATATAAATCACCATAACTCTTCAATGTCACTAACCATCTCTTAAATTCCTCATTCAACAGATTGAACCTATCTTTGCTTTTTAGGTCTACTTCCCAGGATCTTCACTGTGGACATATCTAGAGCAAAACCCTATCTTTTACTCATTAAGCTACCACCAAATGGACCCCTATAATCAGATTCCCATGCATTTCACACTTTTGATGTTTTCTTAACTTGAAATGTTTTCATGTAAACAATGTTAAAATACCACGATAATACACAACAATGTCAAGGGAAAAGAACCCAAACTCTGTAAAACAATTTAAAGAGGTTCTTTCTGAGCCAAGTATGAGGACCGTTGCCTGCAGTCAT